GGCCCCCGCGCCCGGCCATCTGGGCCCCACGTTTAGCAGAACCGACGCCTCAGTTCGCGTTGACAGCACTGTGATTGCCAGTCCTCAGCACAAAGCCCCGCGTGCCAAAGCCTGATGTTAATTAGCAGCGATCCCCGGGCGACGGCAGCTCAGCTCCGGTCCGTCTGGAGCTGGGGAGGCAGCAGCTGTGCGTTAGCTCGGCAGCGGAGGTGAGCGTGGCCGGGCCGCCCGCCGGCCGGAGCCCGCCGCCCGCTCCTCAAGGCGCCTGTGACTTCCCGGGAGGGAGGCAGCTGAGCTCTGCCCCCGGGTGGGGGTGCCGGCAGTGGCGTTGCCTGAGAGGGGGGTGCTGGGGCCCGGATGCCCGAGGGTGTGGTGCTGACGGAGGGAGCCTGGGAACGGCCACCAGGGCCTGGGCTCCAGGCGGGGGAGGGTCAGCAGGGTCGCTGGTGGAGGCCCTTCGAAGGACCCAACTATCTCTACCTGGTCCAGTGGGCCCCTCGGGAACCCCAGCCTTGCTGAGAGCGCCTGACAGCAGCTCGGCACCCAGACACTGCGGAGCCTGAGCGGGCGCCGAAAGCCTCCTTCTCTCCGCCAATTAGAAGGTCGTCGCCGGCGGGACGGGAGGCCGGTGTTTGCCGGTGGAGAATCCGCATTTGTGCTGTTCCTCCTCCAGCTGGTCTCCCCGAGGGGAGCGGGCAAATACACGAGGGCTCCCAGAGGATTCATCTCAACGCACACTGGCAGGCCCTGCTCGAAGCTCTGCACACACATCACTTACCGCTCCCGACAGCTGAGTGGTGTTGGAGGCGAGTGGTATTGCTCCCCGCTCTCTTTCCACTGACAAAGGAAGAAACTGAGGCACAGTGAGAGGTCTCACGTCCCAGGCTGCACCTCTCGTCAGTGTCGGAGCAAGTGACCAGCCTGGAGCCCACGGCCACCCAGGACATCCCAGGGCCCTCGCACCTGCCTTTGCTCTCTCCACGCGCCCACCAGGCCCACCTCGCAGCCCACAGCTCTGCTCGCAGGCCCACAGCTCTGCTCAGCCTGGTGTCTTCTGAGCTGCTCTCGGGTCCCAGGTGATCGGCGCTCCCGCCTCTCAACCCTCCGTGTCCACCGTGCCGTCCCCCTGCCCAGCCCCCTCCGGCCTGCACCATCTCCATGTACCCAGGGTCGTGCCCTGCACTGGCCCAGAAATGCCAGCTGCCGGAGCCGCAGCCTCACAGCCTCCACAAAAGCCGGTGAGCCTGGACACAGAAACACCCACTCACCGCAGAGCGTTTGGGGCCCCGAGAGCTCCCAGAGGTTCAGACGCTTCGCTGTGTAGGAAGCTGGGCCTCACCCGGGGGGCGGGGGGCGAGGTGGGGGGGGTTGGAAAGGGCTGACGGGGAACACCTGCCAGAAGGGCCCTGGCGCTCGTGGTGCAGCCAGGGAGGCGGGTCCAGCAGGCTCCGCTCTGGCTCTCCCTGGAGGGTGATGTTTTGTGTCAGCAATGCTATCTGAAACCGGGCGCGGCCTCTCGGGCGGCCGCTTGCTGGGCAGCAGCCAGGGCGCCTGCTGAGGTAGCGTGCGACGGGTAACTGGCAAGCCTCTCACGCGGCGAGCGGAGGACATTTCGATGGAGTGGAGATGATTCGTCAAAGCTGGAGTCATGCAGGGCTGCCCTTCCTCGAGGCACCACCTGCGGCGTTGGCCTTTCTTCAAAATAGAAGATCATTATCGGCTCTGCACCTACCAGGCGCCGAAGAGGCCACTCTCAAATGCCAGCAGCATCCTTCCCGGCCTCGCGGCTCCACGCCATGGTGGATGGAGTCAGCGGGCCCGGGCCCCACGTGGTGCTGGCTCCCCCCGCCCCCCTGAGAGATGGCATTAGAACTGAGACGCTAGCGCCAATGGAAGGGAAGGGGCGAGGAGGCAGACAGCGGGCGCAGGCTCTGAGCAGGAGGGACTCGCTCTGCGGAAAGGCCCCAGGCGGACCCGGGCCCCCGCCCTGGCACCCACTCGGCTGTGTCCCTGCCTCTGGCCACGGCCCTGCTCCAGGCCTCCTTCCCGGTTGGGCCCCTGAGTCACTGCGTGGAGCCCCCCCGGACCGATCCGTGTGACCACTGTCCACATGGCAGCCATCCCTCCACCAGCTTGTGTGTCCTCCAGGCCCGGCCCGATTCGTGTCCACGCCCCCAGCGTCCAGCTCCGGATCGGCTCTGCGGGCCTCCAGCTCAGGTATCTCCGGACCCTCGGACAGCAGGCGACAAAGTCGAAGCCAGAGGGGAAGCAATGTGCCCAGGGCCACACGCGAGTGAAAGGCAGCCGGGACTTGAGCCCACGCCACCTGCCTTGGGGCCCCTTCCTGACACAGAGCTCCTGGTTCCCTGTGTTGCTTTAACGTTCTATTTGCTTGTAATTCAAGTGTTCAACATCCATCACTGAAGAATTCCATAGTTTAGTATTGACCTTGGGGCCCCTTCCTGACACAGAGCTCCTGGTGGCAGCCGCGGGAGTGAGACCGGGCCGGCCAGCCCAGAGAGGCGCTCCCACCCCTCGCGGGCCCCGGCGCCGGCCCCGGGCAGCGGACATGATGAGGCTCTGCAAAGACACAGTGACACCTACGGAACGGCTTCCAGCCTGGTGATCGCCGTCTGCCGCCAACGCCGAGACCAACCGCGCGGCCCCAGCCCCGCCTCCCAGTGGGGCTCCCCGGGCCTGAACCAAATTAAGACTGAGCGGCTGGGCCGGGGAGATAAGGCGCCCTGAGTGGGAGCCCGGCAGGGGATTAGCGAGCAGCCACGTGGGGGCCTCTGAGCCCCATGGACACGGTACAGGGCCCCTGCCCTTGAGAGCTGGGAGGCCCCAGCCCAACCTTAAAATAAGGGTAGAGAACCGTCCAGTGCTACGATCATGCTGCATGACAAGCCACCCAACACTCAGGCCCCACCTCAGGCTGGGCTCTGTCTCTGATTCTCCTGGTCTCCACCAGGCTCCCCAGTGCCACCCCGCGCTCCCCCAGGTCTCTGGCCATCCTGGCGGGGGCCGGGGCTGGAGTCTGGGTGTCAGGGCACACGCCACCGGAGTGTCTCCTGGTGCTGGGCTCCGGGAGGTGGGGTTCTGTTGCCCTGATCCGGGAGCCACCTCACTATCGCAGGCTTTTTCCTCTGGGAGGACGCAGGGAGCAGGATGCCCGGGAGATGGTCCCCCCAGGAGCGAAAGTCACCTCTGGAGGTCCCCCTGTCTCCCCCATGTGCTCAGCCTGGGATGGTGCTGCCGTGGCGACGGGACAGGGTACTGAGCCGGAAGGGGCTGTTGCAGGAACCGCGGGGAGCGAGGGCAGTGCCTGCTCCGAGCTGGGCTTAGACACGCCGTGGTCTCCCCACTCCACCCCAGCCCCGGAGCCCTGTGCCAGGCCCTGGGCGTGCAGGGGCCCAGCCCACGCTCCCAGCACCATCTCAGCAGGAGATGGGCCCGGGATCTCTGAGCCACCCCAGCAATTTGCAGGAGCACGTCCCCAAGCAACGTGAGTGACTGGCCCATTGTTCAAAAGTTATCTTTAGACAAGAGCATTTATCAAGTGTAATTAACGCGTCAGGGACTCGGGCAAGAGAGGGCTCCGGAGGCAGCACTGATAACGCTCCTTTTCCACATTAAGGACGACTTGGCTGGGCACCGGGCGGGAATGGACCGCCAGCGCCACCTCCACCAGGAAAGCAGGCGATCCCTCCCTGGATGGGGTTCAAGGTGCAGTGGTGGGCGAAGGCTGGCAGGGAGCCCACCCTCTGCTGGGAGATGCAGACCATGGGGTGGGAGGAGGCCGGGAGGAGGGGAGCAGGGCAGGAGGCAGGAGGCAGGAGGAGGAGGAGGAGAGGGAGGGGGTGGCAGCTGACCAGGGCATCTCGGAGCCTGGCACTTTGTCCTCAGCAAGGCTGGGAGAGGGGCGTACTCACCAGGCGCAGACCATCACCACGGAGAGTGAACTGGGGGAGCTACCCGACCCGGGCTGCGATCCTGCTCCCGTGGACCAGCTGTGTGACCTTGGGCAGGTCACTCCACCTCTCTGTGCCTCCGTGTTCTCATCTATGAAATGGGAGGAAATCCTGACCCACGAGAGGGCCCGGCCTGTGCCTGTCCCCGAGGCCTCAGTAAGTGGAGGCACTGTTGTTGGCACACAGGCCCCTGGTGCGGGGGAGGGTGAGGATAAGATCGCAAAAGGTCAGACATGTCTGGGGGCTCTGGGCCAGGAAGGGGAGCCCATGAACACAGAGGGGTCCCCACACTTCGGCAGGGATCAGAGCCCCGAGAGGATCCTACAACACAGATGGGCAGCTCCACTTCCGAGTTTCTGATTTTAGGGTCTGGGTGGGCCAGTTCCGCTGACGCCGGCTGCCCAGGAACCCCCTCTGAGAACCACGGGGACCGAGAAGAGGCGCTGGTGTAGCAGGTGGGGTGTGAGCGGCTCCTCTGTTCTTTACACAACACAAGAGACCACACTCGACCGTTTGCAGAACTTTCCACATAGCACCTGGCCTCCCCACAGCCCTGCTGTGCGGGCCGGTCAGTGTCTGCCTGGGGACAGCCAAGGCCTCGCCCCAGCCCCCAGGACCCAGCCCCCAGGCTCAGGCCCCCGGCACCCACTCCCAGGGTCAGCAGTGGTCTCAGGTCCCTGACACCCTCCGAGGACCAGGTGGTAGCCCACCCATGGGCGTGGCTCACTCGATGTCCACCCTGCCACACCGTGTCATCCCCGTCACCGCAGCCGGCCACTCCTCCTCCATGTGACACACCCCGCCCACTCCCCCTCCAGCGCCCCGACTCCCACCCTCCCCTGACCCCTCATCCTGAGCATCCAGGGCGCAGTGGGCGGAGCACCAAGAACAGGGGGCCTGCAGGGCGGGGCTGAGTCTCCCCCACGGACACCAAGGCTCAGAGCTGCACCCTGCGCTGTGACGGGCCCTACAGGGTCCTACCAGGTGGGTGAGCCCCAGGCAGACATTCAACACCAACACCATGGGGGGTGGGGGCAGCAGGCTTCCAGCGGGCAGATGGCATCGCCCCTGCAGGCAGCCATGCAGCCTGAGCCCAAGGAGCCCCGGGGCCCCCAGAGCGAGGGGCCACTCCCGGGGCCGCCCAGCATCACCCACGGTCCACGAGCATCGCTCTGCCAACACGGCGATGCGCCTGCACAGGAAAACGAGAGAGAGGAATAGAGAAACCGAAGCAAATGTGCCATTATTCCAGAACAAACAGACCGTCAGGCCCGGTCACCAGCATGAGCGACATCAAAAGGTGCCATGGCAACCGCACAAACATGCGCCAGGAGGCAGGGGGGCGGCGGGGGAGCCTGGGGTTTGCAGGAGACGGACCAGCAGCCCAGAGCACGCGGAATTGCCGTGAGCAGGAGGCCGCTCCGCTGGCTTCAGGCCTGGCCCGGACTGGGAACGTGACAGCCACCAAACAGACGCTCAGAGGGTAAGACAGCAGCGGAGACGAGACGGGAGAGAGGGAGGCTTCAGCCCCAAGGAAGGGAATTCAGGACCAGCCTGCAGTGGACCAGCAGCAGCCACGCCCCTTCCTGACTCTGCGGGGGGGGGGGGCCGGCCCCTCCCCCCCATCCATGTGAGAGAGACGCATTGATGGGTTGCCTCCCCATGCACCCCAACTGTGGCTGAGGATCAAACTGGCAACCCAGCCACATGCCCGTGACCCGGAATCGAATCCACGACCCTTTGGTGCTGGGGCCAGACACCCTCACCGCTGAGCCACACCAGCCAGAGCTGTTTCCTCCTGGTCTTTACCAGCCTCTCACGGGCTCTGGGATGTACTTGTTTGGCTGATCATCTCTCTCCCCCACAGTTTCCAGGACAGAATCGTGTCTCTGTCTTGCTCACCGACGTCTCCCCAATACCAAGGAAGACGGCTGGCAGGCAGCAAGCCATCGATAAACATGTGGTGAAGGAGTGAGTGAGCAGAGACGCCGGCACAGCTTCTCATTCCCTCCCTCCCTCCTTCCCTTCTCAGCGAAAAACCACTCTGTCTTTTAGTTATTTGTAATATATTTTTGTTGATTTCAGAGCGGAAGGGAGAGGGAGAGATAGAAACATCAATATGAGAGAGATTCATGTATCAGCTGTCTCCTGCACGCCCCCTAGTGGGGATCAAGCCCGCAACCCAGGCGTGTGTCCTTGACCGGAATCGAACCTGGGACCCTTCAGTCCCCAGGCCAACGCTCTGTCCACTGAGCAACACCAGCCAGGGCCACTCTGTTTTTTTTATAAAACAATCCGTGCTCCTTGTGTCAGTCAGAATAAGGGAGGTTATGGTGCAGGAACCACATGGCCCGCTCAGGAGTGGGTAGGGGGGTGAGTGGTTAGAGGGAAACTTGGAGATCATCGGTGACTGCAGTTGGAAGAGGACAGAGACCTGGACGCCCACAGCTGGGTCGGGAGCCCTGGCAGGCGCTGCACACAGGTGATAAGCACGGGGCTCCCGGCGGCCTCGGAATGAAGGAAGAGCTGAGTTCAAGTTCAAAAGAGCCTCCAGCTTCAGGGAAGTCTGCTGCAGAACACCCACCCTTCCTTAGCAATGTCGTGCATTTCAAAGAACACAGGCTCCTTCGAGCATTTAGGACGAGAAAGGACATTGTTGACAAGGAGGGGCCCTGCGGGCTCGACGCCCCCACAGCAGCCTCCCAGCGGCGGTTCCTGTTCCGAGGGGAAGCCTGGCTCCAGGACGCCGTCTGCAAATCCAGCAGAAACCGCCGCGCGAGCACCCACCTGGGCTTCGTGGAAAACAATGTAAATAAATGACAAGGGCACCGGGCAGGAGGGAGCTGGTGGGCAGCCAAGCCACTCGCCCAGGCAGCCGGAGGGCACGGCTCTGAGACTGCAGCCTCGGGGGACGGGGGAGTCATCACCCACACGTGTCAGGCGTGACCAGGGCACCGAGGAGGCAGGGCGGCCGGAGGGAGGCCGGAGGGGAGGGGCCCGACTCCATCCTTCGCTGCAGGGAACTGACAGACAGACGGACCGACAGACGGACGCGTAACCGCGAGCAAAAGCGGAGGCAGATAAACACCCAGCACCTCTGCCTCTGAAGGCTTCTCAGAGTCTCCTCCCCCTCCTCTCTGAAATCAATAAAAATATAAAATAAATTGTAAATGAACCTCCTTCTCACCAGAGAGCGATCGATCTCTGCTGCTTGAACTTGAACTATTCCTTCCATTTCTTCTCAGTTTCACCCGCATGACGGGCCTTGGCACGCACTGGCCTGTCCCGTCCTCACCATGACCCTGGGCCGGTGCTGTCCCTGGCTCCATTGTACAGATGAGGCAACTGAGGCCCAGCGTGGGGACGGGGACGGGGCCTTGCTGGGCAAGGCGAGGGAGCCAGGCTTCCCACACAGACCATCGCCCGCTGCGCCCTCGGCCACTGGCCCTGTGGCCGGAAAGGCCAGAGTGCACTGAACAGTGGGGTTGGGGGGGGTCAGGCCGGACAGGGATGGGGGCGAGAATCCACACCCCCAGAATCCACTGTCCGTGAGGCAGGGAGGCAGGAGAGGCGGCCTGGGACCCCGAAGGCACGGGGACCTGCCCACAGCAGCCAGGCACCCCTTCTCCTGTCTCTAAATTGGGGATCAGAACAGTACCTGCCTCCCAGGAGGCCGAAGACGGGCTCGGCCGGGATGGGGCTCCGTGTCCTCCTCACTCGGTGGGGCTGCCCCAGTCCCCTGCAGAGAAGGGCAGAGCAGGAGCCCCGCTGAAGGGGGCTGTGGGCAGCGGGGGGAGGCCCTCGGCCACACGTGTGTGAGTCAGAAGTCACACGCATTCTCCGGGGAGCATGTGTTCGGTGGGGGGCCTTTTCATACTGAGGTGGGAGGAGTCACAGGGCGTGTTGGGGGGGCAGCCTGGAAGGACCATAACCACCACCTGGACACCCTGCCACCCTCTGACCTGACCCCCAGTGCCCCACCCGGCCACACCCCCAGAGCCAAACTGCGCCCTGCAGGGAAGGGTCCCCCTGCGGCTGGAGCCTGAGGCCTCGGACCCAGGTCCCCGTGTCCCAGCCTGCCCTGTCTGCTGTCCCTCCGGACGTCTGGCTGACTCCCAAGCCCCCGCCACCGGCAGCAGCTCTCGGCCTCCAGGACTAATGGGGGGAAATGGTTTCCCGATGAAATATTCATGCCCGGCGAAGCCTAAAATAGGCCAGAAAGGAGGAGGGGGTTCTTGTCCGGCGCAAATGAGGTGACGTGCGGCCGCGAGGCTGCCTCTCTGACCTCGCCCCTGCCCTCCCCCACCCGCCCAAGGCCCTGAGACCCCACAGGGCGGACCTCCTGGGTCCGTGGCCTGGACGGTCCCCTAGGGCCACCCACCCGGAAGGGCCCCTGCTTGGTCTCACGCTCTGTGGTCGCCATCTGGCAATTCTTAATCTCAGAGCAAAGGGTCCACATTCTCACTTGCACCGTTGAGTGACCGTCCCGGCCGGCCGGCGTCCAGAAAGACCGCCGGGTCTGACCCCGGGACACGGTCACTGTACCCTTGGGCAGGGCCAAGGGGAGGTGATGACCACCGCCCGCCGTGGCCATCGCCGGCACATGCACCACCTCATTTCATCGGGAACCAGCCTCATGAGTGAGATCAGCAA